CCGGGGATACGCCGTGAAGGATGAAAGGGGTGTCATGCTGACCCACCGAGGGACGTGCCCTCGTTCGAAAATTTGACAGAATTTCTGGGAAACTTCCTGCGTGACAGGCAGCAACGGAATCAGGCGAGGAAAAAGAGTTCCTCTTGTTCGATGCGGATTTTCATCCGACGTGTCACGAGATATTCACTTGGGATCTTTTATTAAAAGTAATATAATGTTTTTATATGTTCTATAAACTGCTTAAAAGCGATCAAAGAAATGAGATGTAAATTATAACGTATGTTTCACAATGAGCTTGTAGATTTTTGCTTATTTTATACCAATTAAAAATAATTGGCGAACACGATATGAAATATTATAAACGATTTAATCACAAGAGAATAATAACGAAGCTTTGAAGTTGTATAAGAAAGGCAATGTACGACACGAATGAAAAAGAGAATATTGTTTTTCATGCTTGTTAAAAGTAACCGTGGATTAAGCGTGGAAGAAGTAGCGGGGTACCTTTTTCCGGATGGATCTTTGTAATTCCCCGCAGGCAATTGTGTCACACGCATCGCCGGAAACGAATAACCACGCAGAAAACCTAAATGATTGTCATTACTGGCCTGCCAATTATACGAGAGGCATCATCCAGCCCCTGTTTAGGGTCGGGACAAAGAGAGTGAAAGCGACAACGTGGCTGACCCGACGTATGACACGCCCCTGTTTGTGGAATACACGGCTGTTCACCGAAAATGTTTTCGTAGCAGGTGGCCGCAGAGTGACACGCTCTCGTCTCGGTCAGACATTTGTAAAAATACTGCAGAGAGATGCTGCGAGAAACATTACCCTCTTCAATGAGAGCTTTGTAAATTTCACGAAACACTCTTCTGTTTTCATAATGTCTTTTATTACATTTTATGTGCAGTAAACATTTAACGCCCAGAGCTTTTGGACAATTATTTAAAAATTGTGAGACTGAAAAGATAACCATTTTTCACTGATTCATTTGAAAAGTACAAGAAAGTATGAAACTACAGTCTGAAATAATAATCCACAACAAATGTATGAATAGAATTTTGGAAATGAGCATTGCACCGGTGCAACGATGGCAGAGTTGAATCTGATAATGATAGCAACGTAAGAAGACAACGGTAGGGAACGTCTGTTCGTACATATGATCCACTATCACCCGTGCAGCTATTAAACTGCGGGAACTGGCAACTAACAGACGCAGTCGCGACGAGAACAAAAACGATACGGCGACGCAACAACATATCTGTTACATCGACGACAAAACTGGAAACTCCGACGACTCGCAACTCTAGCGCACGAACAGTCCGCGCGGTAACAATGTAAACGTAGCGATGCGAGGCGACCGTCACGAGAAACGGTCCTCGCGAAAAGTTATTTTATTGCGTACCGCTAATCGGCGTTCCCTCGACGCGCTTACAAGTCGCCAAAGTCGTTTCATACTTTTCACGAGCAGTAAATACGGATACGGTACACCGGAAAGCTTTTCACCGTTATCATTGCTCGCGGTGGCCCGCGTTCGCTCGTTCGTACTCTAACGAGAAACGCGGCTGTGTTCCACTTGGACATGTAAAAGCATTCCCGAAATATCAAATCAACAGTTTTTTTTTTTCTCCACTACGTCTCTGTTAACATTTCGTTTCCGCCGTGAGCCCCGCGTCACGTTCCCTTTTCATGTAATTTCCGTATTAAGAGTTACTTTTCAGAATCTCTAAACAGCCGCGTTCTTTGATCCGCCTTCCGTGACGTTTACGTTCTTTAATTACGCTCCCTATCTCGCGGTCTCGCCTTTACTCCTTGTACTTCATCCTTTCTGTTAAAAAAACTCATATTCGTAAGATGCAAGCTTTACAGATTAGCTCGGTGCATATCAAACGTTCTAGTAACAAGAGTTATTACACTGTATAATAAAAATACGAATTGTACATGCACTGCGCGATTTTTACTACTGATTAAATTGTCTACAAGCATTCGCAAATTTATTCCGTGCGTACGTTTGATTGATTGCTGTACGTGACCAGATTTAACCCCTTCTTCAGTCCATCTGTAATAACTAACAAGAATAATTTTTCTTTGTTTCAGGTATGAACCTCTGAACCCTTCATTGCTTCCGACGAGTCCGTGAGTAGAATACCACATAGCATTCAATCGTTCTTTCTAAAGGGTAAGAGTTGAAATATTTATACAACTTCGTTTAAACTATGAAGAATAAATTTATAAGAAGGATAAATGTTCGAACGATTGTATTTAGACTTATCATTATATGCAAAGCTTAACTCGAGAGACAAATTAACTGCGTTTCGATCACCCATTGTCAATTTCTTCGGGCAGGATGAATCCTCTAGCCTGGTTAAAGTAGAGTCGTTATTAAACGGTGGTTACGGCAATATGGTTGATCGATTTTTCAGCGGGAAACAAATAAAGCCTCGGCGAGAGCGGACTCCCTCGTGGTAAAAAGGGAAATTATTCAAAGGGCTCCGCCCTCTTTGGTGGCTCCCTGCTCGCGTAATACGGGGCTACTTGTACATGCGGGGTTTGTGGCAAGCACTGGCATAAGCACAGCGCATATGGGTATCGGAAACGTGCGTAGATCACGCGGGATTATTCGGACACCCCCTCGGGCGCGGCCTAAGCTCCACTGGATGCATGCTAATTGCCATGAAGACGTACACAGCGGCGCATTATGATGTGTATACGTCATTGTTCCTGCCGCGCCGCTTTCACCGGTGCATTGTCATGCATGAGAGCGAGCCGCATGTGACTTAACGCGTTACCGGTTGCCACCTCGCGTTCCTCTTCCTTTTTCTCGTGACCTTCGTGCAACGACGCGTCGCCTACGAGACGAGAAAGAATTTTGAACGTAACACGAGATCAGCGGATCTTGCTCTTTCATCCTCGAATCTTCGTTTCAAACTAGCCGCACAGGCAGATCCGAGTCAAGGCCGAACGTGAGTCTCCGCAGGACTCGACGTCTCTCGTCTCGTTTAATTGTTTCGGCGGGGTAGAGTCAAGGGCGATTCCTTAAAACGGGAAATGCCAGGCAAATTCCGCTTTCACCGGGTTCTGCCCGCGTGCCGTAAACGTTCAACAGTCACAGAGATGAGGTATCCAAAGAGAACTTCTGGCTCCTCTGTATCGATGATACGCGGACGGACGAGAGGAGAGAGTCGACGAGGAGAGGACAGAGGAGAAAGGAGGAAGCTCCTTTCATCCTTGGCCCGGGAATCGCGCGACGGCAGAGCTTTCCAATAAACGTAGAGATCTCGGTTTTGTGACTGCCAGAAGACAGATAAGGTATGCCGTGGAAGGGTCCTTAGCGGGGAGTTTCGTCGAGAGGCGGCGCATATTAAATTGTTTGCCTCACAATGTCGCCCTCCTTCATCGGATCCTCTCCTTCCCACGGCTTTGCCATCGCGATATTGGCAACCTGTTAATATACTTTGCGGAATAGCGAGACGAAGGAGAGCGTATCGATCCGTCGAGACGTTTCGCTTTCTACGGGAAACACTGTGTATATTTATGACGGTCTCGTTTCATATTCATGCCGCGATCCTGTTGACCGATATGAAGATTTTTCCGTTCTCTTTCTGAAACTGTCTCGGCGTTAAAAGACGTATAAATGCAACGTGAATAATGGGAATATTCTTAAACGTACAAATAATAAAAATAATATAACAATAACACACCAAGTCATGCGAACGCTTTTAGTATGAAAATGTCCGAGTTTCGCTTTTGATCAAACAAGCGACGTTTCGATGTACGTTCGAATAATTTACGTCGATCAAGAATAGTTCCTTTTTACGTTCTCGATTAAAAAAACAATACTTCGACTTCATCAGTTTGGACGCCTGAAGTTAGAACAACGGCGAAACGGATAATTCGTTGCCACAGCGGAGACGGGTAACCGCGGCGGTTCGCCGTCAGCGATTTGTAAACGTCGTCGAACCTCAATATCTCTGACCCTGTCGGCTTATATTAAACGCGTCGGACAGCGAAAAATGCCAGTTATAAATATAAAAGCGAGCGACGGTGATTCCAGCGCGGATTTACCCTCCGCGTGGGAATTCTACCGAGTCACGCCGCGTCGAATAATCCGGCGTCGGAATAAAAATTTCTGACCGTGGAAAAACGGTGACGGTGATAAATCATAAAAGTCGACTATCGGCCGCGCGAAACCGGCAGAAATTAACGCCGGCCGGGCCGTAGAATTTCCGAAACTGTGCGGAGGCTGTGGGAGCAGAGAGCGAAACGACGCCGGTTAATGCGACCCCTAATCAGTTTTAAAACGCCATAAAGCGGATTAAGCGCGGAGGATATTGCGGGGCAATCGATGTTATGAATTTATTACTGGTGAGGAAATGGGATTACCTTAATCGATTCAGCCCGAGTATGATCGTCTTCGTACTTGGCTCGCGTAATTGCCAGTGTCTTAGCAGTCGAGTGGATGCCTTGGATTTACTGTTCGGATCGACGTTCATCCCTTCAGTCATTTCTTTTGATTACATAAAACTTTGTATCATTACTTGGGGAATATTTTTATTTCTTTTCAATGAACACAAATTACAATACAGAAATATTTCACGCAACTCTTATAATCACTGGAAATTCGTAACTCTCTGAGCCACGGAAACCGCGAGGGACTTCGATGCGCTAGAAACCCATAAAAACAACCATCTGCTCAACCATGCACGCCCTCCTACCCCAGAATTTTAACGAGAGCGCACGCAAGTACGAGAGAGACGCGACAAGAAAGGAAAACGAGAGTAAAAGAAATCTCGCCTCGGTTTTCCTGGCTTCATCCAAGCGAATTCAGCTTCGCCGTCCTTTTTATACCCGCGAGGAAGAAACGCAGGCGATCGGAGTTTGACGCGCGGCCGTGGCTCGCGTTTGCACGCGAGACGGCGACCCACGCAAGCGCAGCGTCGGAAATCCTCCCCGAGGGTTGGAGTGAGTCAGAAACGCGCGGACGAAGGGAGGCCGTTAATCGGCGATAGGCAGTCAGTCGGTCGGCAACCAGCGCGCCACACGGACGTGAAGTTCGCTCACGTTTTCGTCCCGTTTTCACGCTGATCCTCGTCAACATCGTCACGCGTGATCAGCGTTCATTCCCTGATCTTTACAGAATACCGTGCGTGTAATTCTCCAATAGGAAGTGACAGAGACTTCGTTAGGCCTTCGTTATCACCCTCGATGGTAGCCAGCTTCTTTGAGTTCCTCGGGTGTTCGGCAGTCGGTTTGGAACGATAAATTTTGGACGAACGAGGGTGTAACTGGCAGCGCAGAGTCGATTAAAGCTCGGATCGATCGAAGTTTTGAACGGCGGAAAGGGTGTTTCGCTGTCGGTCGCGGCGACGAGGGAGTATCGATGTCCAGTGATCACGAGTTCGAATGACGAGCAGCGAGCAGCGTCCGACAGGACATGACAGTGGACAGAACGTGTAATAGAAGTTGACAGGCGAGCACTCGGTGGGTTCGAGCGATGCGTGCCTATGTAGGGATGAGCGTCACGTTCAGCTGATGGTGCCACCCGAACATTTATTCAAATCCTAGCCGAGGGAAGATCGTTGCCTTACTTAATTCTCAGTAGGACATAATCTCTCGTCAAGCGTGGAGTATCGTCGAGAACCTGATATATATTTTGTATGTATTTTCTAAGAACTAGCGAGCACGCGGAGCGTCGTCGACAAGAGTCTTCCAAAAGTTTCGCCAATCCTCGTGTTCTTCCAGAAGTATCGTTCGCTCGATCGACGAAGCTCGCTTGTCAATCAAAACCTATCATATCCGAACAGTTTTTAAAAAAGTTACTACGACGTCCAGGAAGGAATTCAAGCGGAAAGAGCCAAATATTTGCGATCAGCACTCGAAGTGAAAAAGTCCCACGGGTTCTAGTGAACCACGCGTACGTCGTCTCCGGTCGGACGGTTGCGTTGCAGCTGCAACGATTTCGAGACAGCTGCGACGCGATTCTGCGGAGGGTGGCACGAGACTACGAGAACGACGATCGTTTGCGAAGGTGACAGGAGACGGTCGAATTTCGAGGGTGGAGGCGACAGAGGAGGCGACGAGACTGGAAACGAAGGAGGTGGAGGGTGACAGTGGTGTCGACAGTGGCGGTGGCAGTGGTGTCATCGATGACAGTGATAAAACTATCGTCGACTGCGAAGGTAACAACAACAACAACGACGACGACGACGACAGCAGCAAGAAAAGTGACGGCAGTAAGAAAACTGGAAACTGTGCCGCTGGTGGTGGTGTCGACGGTGGTGGAGTCTCGTGCAGGGGTGGAACGTTACGACTTTTAAGGGGACTGGTCGAGGGCCCGATAGGCAGGGTGGCCGCACGAGTGCACCGTTGGGGAACGACTGGAGGGGTCAATCCCTCTGCACCCTCAGGACGGGAATGTCCCGGCGGAGAGGGCACCCCCCGTCGGAACATCCTCGACGCCACGAAGAATCGCCGGCTGATGGGCGCCAACCTCACTAAGCAGAGCAGGGTGAGTTCCTGACGAGGCTGACACCGCGCGGGCTCCTTCTCCTTTACTGGCTATATCAGCGTCACGCGTGCCGCGTCCGAACTTCCCTCTTCTTTCTGTGCTCAAACAACGAATGAAAGTATCTACTTATTTGCAAAGTTTCAAATCGGAATGGAGTGAAAAGGGGTGGTTCACCGTTTTGGGAGAATTCGAGGTCGTATTATCACGTATTGCGTGGAAAGTGGAGGAATATTACGAAAAATATTTATATGTAATTTCAAGGAAGAAATTTAAACACTCATTTATTTAACGTTGAGAGACTTTTACTTCAATTCGGAAGGATGTGTAATTTCTCAGAACTTATTTTTAAAGTTCTCATCGTGCGGACTAACTACGATTCTCGCGATCGGCCCGGGACACGAGCAAAAAGCGAGTCTCTTTAGAAGTAACTCGAGGGTGAAACGTTCCATTCCGTTACTCGAAACTAACCGGACAGTTTGCTCAGACTGCTGGGAAAAGTTCGACTTGTTTGTTGATATTCGTCTCGCGCCATAAACGATAATCGAGAGGAAAGTTCTTGGGCCGAGTCGCACGGAATGAAGACATAACCGTTGCAAAATCGTTCTAGCCAGTTCCGCAACTTTCCTTTTTTTACTTCCTGAACTTTAAAGCCCGCCCCGCGAGTCTGTCGAGTGGAATTCTCACGATTGCAGAGGAAGTTGCGCAATATAATCGAGCCACGATTCTTCTTCGCCTCTGGCGACTAACAATAAGTCGACGGACCGTTTAAGGATAAATTTGTCGGATGGAAATAGAAATTCCCGACGGTGTTCGTAAAAGAGTCTTTAAGTCAAAATTCAGTGATAAAAGGAACCGTTTATCTTCTCAACTTTTTTATGAGTTGATCGCGGATTTTATGCATTTATAAAAAAATTCAATGTGCAAAAAATAGAAATGCTGCATAAATAAAAACTATATTAAAAATTAATGCATATTGCGATGTCTACTTACGAGTAAGAAAATAATTCGAATAGTTGCATTTCTACACTTATGCTCTTGCTGTACATTCTCAATGGAAAAACAGTTATCTCTCAGTTTCCCATCGGAATCGAAAGGCACAGTAGCCTCAAGGATAAAAATTCAAGACAGAAGAGACGGGGAAGAAGGTTTGAAAAAAGGGGATAACGAGGAAGTTCACGGGCCATTTAAACTCTGCCGCAGGTATCGCGTCTAGATATCTGCGGCCATGAGAGACACCCATTCAACCGGCCGTTTTCCGTGCCGATGAATGAAGCATTCATACGCCTCGTACGTTCGCAAGAGTAAGAGTTTACTTTGCCCGTCTGAATCGTGGCTACCCATGACTCTCTCGCGATTCGGTGCCCATATAAGTTTCGCCAATTTCTATTCAACTCTTCTCTGCCTCAGAATTTCTGATCCTTGAGGCAATAAAAGGCCAGACGAATCAAACACTATGAAACGAAATATCATTTTAAGGAAGGAATACAAGTTTCGTGACGATAAATTTCGTATTGAAATCGATTTTTCGAAATCATATATTTCGACTAGTTTTGCAGGAAATACCTGCATCCTTTTCTAAAATCGTGTCGATTGTCTGTACACTTGACGTAGCGAATACCGGAACCCTGACCGTCGTTGTACATCATACATGAATTATTCGATCAAGCGATTCCATGGTTGACTATTGGGTATCACAGAACTCGTTAATCATCGCCGGTGCGTCGCGAATTTTCGCGCGGACGCACACAATTCATCGGATCGATCAAACAACAAGGCAAACGGGGATACCAAAATGCATCAGTGCCGCGGAAAAGTACACAAAACTCATGCGTTTCACCGGTAATGTCGAGGTCGAGAGGTGTTAATTATCTTGTACGCGCAATTGCGCCTACGCCAGGTTTGATTGTTTACTGCGTCTACCTTTGATTCTACACGCACGATGCTTGATGCCGCCTCTTACGACTCGGGAGGAAGAACTTCACTATTTTTCCGATAGAAATGGCACGTGAAATTCATAATATTTGTCGTAAGTTTAACTAGTTTTGTAGAACTATAGAATTGACACTTAAACGGGTCATTTCGTGGAAAATTTAAACTACATGGAGAAGCTTGTAATCGCTAAATGTACTCTGGACAATCTTAAAACGGTGACTAATTGCCGGCATGGTTGGTAATAAAGCGACGACTGACACGCTGTGGTTTCCCACGTAGCAGGGCTTCACGGGCGAAAGGCGCGAAGGATCTTGCAAGATTTATCGCGATTCTTTTCCGAGGGACGAGTGGCACGTGACCCAGCTATCAATCCCTCTGCACCAGCAATGCTCACCTGCCTTTCCAGCTTTTACTTTCCCTCTCGAAAAGACGTGGAAACTGCCTTCGCTCTCTTCGTAACCTCGAAGAAACCAGAGACCCAATCGGTGGCCGAATTTGCTCGGTTTCTGAATTATTGAGCCGCCTCTTCTCCGAGCGATGCTCGGCCGCACGAGCGTGATCATTGACGAGGCTCATTAATAATTTGTTGCTCGATCAGCGAGCCCTCGGCTACGAGCGACCGCGTGTTCCCCCTCGGATCCCGTTCGATTGGACGTCGAGCTCCTCTCGCAGCTTCCTCGCAAACTCGCACGTGCCGCGAATGAAACGAACGCGTGCACGCGCATCGCACTGAGTCACCAGGGACTTTGAACCGGTTGTCGAGAGAAAAAAAATCAGGAATACTAATAGGGCGAGGTGAATGGGAAGAGGTTTACGGTTTTCGGTCACGGAGTATTAAAGCCAAACCATTGTAAATCAGTTTTTTTTTTTTTTAAATAACACGTTCATCAAATTAAAGAGATAGAAACCTTCCTGAAGAATGCAAGATACATTCTGCAAGTTCCCAAAAAAATTTTATGAAAAAAATTTACAAAGTAAAATAAAGTTTAAATATTGCGATGTTTAGTAGATACATAATGCACACTAAGACTATTAAGGAAAGGGGATGAAGACAAGAGATAACCCTTTTGTGATTGATGATACACTGATCGCGTTTAAAGAGCAGGGATATAAATGAGTTCTTCGTGATAAATGATCGACGGTCTTGAGAAATTGTATTAGCCAGTCGTAAGATCGAAGAAACTCAGTGCTGATTGCAAGAATGTTATATTCATCTTTATAGTTATAGTTCATGGCTGGGAAACGTAAATTTTTCACGCGATGCACGTGTCCCGAATGAAACTCACGTGCAGCTATCGATCGACGTGCCTACCTTCGCGCTCATTGTGTAGGCAACGCCGTTCCCTTTTACAATATGTTAAGCTCCCCGCAGACACGGCTACTGTTTTATTCTCGTTCTCCGCTTTTATGTTCTTACATCAACGTAGCTTTACAACGAATCGGACAAACGATTGAATCCTCGCCACCCTCGAGCGATTCGATCTTTTTCATTTGATCAAATAATGGTTATTTCAATTTTTGTAACAACGAGATTTTATTGAACTTTCGTTGTTCTTGAACGAACATAAATTGTTACAACAGTGAATGGTACGAACATTTACGACAAACAATTTGATCAATTCATTTTATTAGACAATTCTACTTCACATCCCTTGAAACGACAGTTCCTTCCTTCAGATAATAGTATTACCACCTTTATCTATGTATCCCATTTTACGTCTCAGCAAATGAACGACTTGAACAACTACTAAATTCGAATAATCGTTTGATCTTTCAAGTGAAACGGTCTCTATCCGCTTTCCGAGCAACGTAATAAAACTTCGAAAGGAAATAAAAATCCACGACGCTCGTCGTCAACAGATCTCGACAGCGGAAACGACGTAAAAGCCGCTTTTCGAGCTTCCATATCCACGTCCATTTAAATCCTTATCCTCGACCAAAGAAACGGCAGTTGGAAAGTCGAAAGCGATCCCACAGTGACCCGTGCATCCGTCGGTAGCCACGCAACGGTACCGAGTAGGCGCACTCGCTCACGAACAGAGAAGATCGCATTACACCCCGACGCCTAACCCCCGAAAAAAAAAAAGAAGAACAGCACGAAGGGGGTGCGGGAGAGAAGCGTTCATCGGGATTTAAGGCTCCATAAATCCGGTAGCATCCCTTAAGCCCCGTACGCGATGGTCAGTCGGCTTTTACCAGATTGTATTCTTTGATATCTATCGTTTCGCTCCGTCGGCTAAACGCCTTCCACCTTGACTCCGTTTAATGGACTACCGCCGGATCGCTACGCGCTTCAATCGCGTTCAGTCCAATTCTATGCCTGTACTTGAGAAAGATCGAATCTTGCGGCAGAATCAAAGTGAAATCGAAAGACAAGGGGGAGATAAGAACCGCGTTATGCGATCTTTGCTCTATTTCGCGAGAATAAGTGAATTCGATGATGAAGCGAGAAGCATTCGAGAATTTATTACAAGGATTTACAGATCACGCAACGGTAGACAAAAAAGGATAGACGTCACAGAACTGGTCGAATGTAACGGTGATATGTCGCTTGGAAAAAAGTAGAATTCAATGAAATTGAGACGTTGAGAAGGCCAGGACGGTTCACGGCATCCGGTTCGACGTGGGACCGATATGAAACAATCGTCGTCGCGCGTTTTCCAAGTTCCACGAGCCGGTAATTTATTATCGAGGTCGATAGTCGCAGCGGCGAGCAAGTCGAGTTAAATCGCGTGAAATACCGCTTTCGGCACATTGGTCGAGCGCAATTATTGATAGGGCAGCGAACAGAGAGCGTAGGTGGAGGCTCTCTAGTCTGTGCGCTCAGAATGGAAAGGGTGCAATCAATGTACCGTACGACGCTTCGATTTAAATTCATGAATAATTCCACCCACCCGGTTCGAAGATCGACGAGCTCCCTTCCATCCTCTTCCGTATTTTTTTTCTCCTTTTTTCTTTTTGGCTTCGTCCTGTTCCGTCGCGTCGGCTCGTTCTACTCGATCGGGCCGAGCTTGCATCTCTTAGTTTAATCAAGAAAATAGGCCGTCGTCCACGATACGTTCTCCTCGATTCTGGATTAAAGCTAAGGTTAAAGTTTGTACAGCCGGATACGATCGCACACAACGTTGTCTCCCAACGATCAATAGACCGTCATTAATGTCATACCTCGGCGATTTGTCAAAATCGAGCGATTGCAAACTGATCGGCTGTATATTTAACATTATGCAAAATTTATCTTGACGGTGAGCTGATCGAAATACGAAAATATATTGACGACCATTCACAGCAATTATATCCCGATCTCTAATAAAGAAACACCAAATATAGGGAGAAGCGAAATTGAAACAAACGAGACGAAAGTTTGTTTTGACTGTGTAACTAATTAATTGGCAAACGATACAGTAGTAAGTAAATTATTTATGAACCATTTGTTACTTTTCCATGAAACGGTGAAATTGATTTGTGAATAACATCGATGCTCGAATTGACATTACGAAAACCGTAGTAAAACGAAAAGTGGAAACTTCTATCAATTTACGAGTGGCCGATTCATTTTCGTCCTCCCGTATGATATCGTCGGAATTGCTTCCCATATAAACTCGTGTAACGGATTTCTGGTCGTAAATCGCGCGTTCGCATAAACAATTCCCCGTACGATTTACATTATTCGCCGCTGCCGTCGTTTCTCCCGTTCGAGTGCACGAAAACTTTCCGTATCGTTGGGAACGAGATCGGCGAATATCGACGACACAAATCCCGGAACGATGCGCGGCCGGGCAGAGGGTATACATCGTCGGAAGCTGGAGGAAACCCTTTGTCGTGGATCAACGTTATCCTAACGGTAAGGCGGTCGTAAATAGGACGTATTTGCCTGAAAAGACTGTCGCCGATGCCGATGTTTTATTTGCTCGTTAAGCCTCTTTTTTCTCTTTACGATTCATTTCGCGTACTGTGAAGCCGGCGATAAATCCGTTCGCTTATGCTCGTTCGAGTCGAAAACCGTCGTCGTCGTCGACGGTGCCCCGGATAGAATTCGCTTTTCGATGAATCCGAGGGGTGGAGGGCGCATTGAAAATTATTACCGACGAGGGGGAGAGATCGAGTCGCGCCCGATGAACATCTGCAGAGAGAAAAGTATGCGCGTCTCACTGCATCAGCGGGGAGGATCAATGGTCGAAACGAAATAAATTTACACATGAATAAGACGAGATAGTTGGAGTCCGCTCGGTCGTCGAGGGCAATAGAACTCGCAGGGGAGAATTAATTTCATCGTTGTATGATCCTGCTTAAAAATATTCGAAAAATATTTACTTCTTTCGATTCTAATTATAATTCCCTCTTTCCTTTTTTATTTCTACTTGTCATTAAATTTCTATCATAAAGATTAATGTATGATGAATTCTTATCGTATTACCAAAAGCTGAATACACGACGATATTTATGAATATTTATTGATACAGAGAAATATCTTATTTTTTATTATTTATTTATTGAAAGTTGAGTTTTGATCGAAGCATGCAACAAATTTGTTTGTTACAGAGAGAGGCTACACAACGAGATGTGGAACGCGAACGACGACAACGAATGGAAGCGGAAGCTCGTGTACGCGAGGCTACGGCCGAGGCTGAAAGAGCACGCTCCAGGGTTCATCATCTTCAGAGAGAATTGGCTAGGTAAGCAAAATCGATACTAACGTTACAATGCAATTAACTATACAGAATAGATTTAATTTAAAAGCAACACAGAGAAAAACAAAGATTTCTGAATGTCCGTGTGTTAGTGCTGCATCAAATACCGTTTCGGCTTTTTTTTTCCTGTAGGGAATTGTGTAACAGGTTTCAATTTAATTAAAAGCCGGCATTTTCCATAGTTACGCTCGAGCTGCGCAGAAAAATAGGTACGTGTGTATGTAAAATATAAATTGGAAATAGACGGGATCGATGGGGCGACGCCACCGGTTTTTAATCAGCTTCTACGAACGAATCAATTATCCTAAATTAACTTCGGAGTGTTTCGTATTAAGAGTGAATACATATTATTTGTCGATTCGTATGAAGAAACGATTTTAATTGAAATTGACCTGGATTTTCGCAATTCGTAATAAACGAGAATTGAATTATTCTGGTTCGCCACTTAAAACAATAAGCTGAACGTTGGCTTTTTCGTGTTGTATCACGTACAGCTCGGATTTTCACTGACAAACAGGAAAAAGGGAAACCGGGTCGGTAAAACGATGCGGTTGCCAAACATCCGGTAATAATTCGAAGCGCTTGTCCAACATCGATTTCTCCTTCTCGAACCCTTCTGCGTGCACACGCGCGTGTGCTCGCCATGGTCTCGCGAAAATCGCTATTTCATCGAGCCGCAGACAACGCTTTATTTCCTGCGCACCGGAAAAGTATCGCCGCGATACAACGTATAAATAATGACACCGCGTTTCCCACGCAATAACCAGCGTGTTTCATGGTAAATCATCGATATTGGCGTTCCTCCAGTAACGCATCCGGCTTACCACCGCGGATACGTTATCGCACGGTCTATCGAGATTCTCCCTTCTGCCACAATTTACACAGTTGCTTGAAAATTAAATTCACCAGACGTTGTACCTTTACGAATTCCAGATTTTCACGTTCAACGTGTTTTCTCCAAGTAGTACGAGATTCTACTTTATTAGATACGAGCTTCCTCCGCTAAAATAAGGTTCCTTATTTAGCAGACGAGGTAAGCCAAAATAGCGAGTGGGTAAATGTTTTAATCATTCCTGAACACTGTAATATGAAAAATCTTTACGTTCCTTCTATGGGAAATATGTATAATAATAACGTGTGCGGAAAGTCGTTCGTGGCGAATGTTCAGAAAGCGAAAGGTCGCCGATAATACTTTCATATTGAACCCTTCACGTGACAAATCTCGTCGTTGGAAACGATATCTAACCGGATATATTACATCGGTTATCGGGCGGGGAGAACTGTGACATTAAATCATAAGAGGCTGTTCGTTTCGCCGAAGGATCGCGTTCGAGAACTGAAATCGTGGTGGAAATTCGAATGAAAGAAAACGTCGCCGATTATATGTAAAACAAAACAAAAAAAACATAATTCGCTAGCTCACATGCCCGATACTTGCCGGGCTTAAAAGCCAACTCCTGTACTTTAAATTTCAGATAAAATATCTCACGAACTGATCATTTTCAACCGCCTTATCTCGGCGTTTCTTTCTCCTAGTTTTTGTACAGAATAATAACAGGATTTAATTTGAAAAACTGCAACGATTAAAATGTACAGGTCGCTTTTAGAAAGAAATATAATTCTCGGAAGAATGTTCACCTTTAATTAACGACACAAACATTTTTAATTTAGTTTGTTTTTACCTCGACGAGATACCGGTTGGAACGCCATTAAAAAATTTTATCGTTTCTTTATTTCACACCTGGCAGGGTCGTAAGGTCGATGTAACGAACAGTCCTGGAATTTATAGTCGTACAGCGGCGGTGCTCGCCACAAAAGATTAGAGAAATCGATTTCGTAGCTTTTGCTGCTCCGTTAACTACGTACATAAATTCATAGAAATAAAAAACAGGAAGACTACTTAAATACATTCGACTGCGCACAAGCGATTAATACCGCGGCGGTAATACCCAAGAGTTTGTGTATAATTGCTTAATTATCCGCGTTGCATTAGTCATGTCCAATTACAAGAGGCAAGTGTTAAATGGGGTATTAAGTGCGGTGTAAAATACAAACGTTTAAAGCGCGGCGGCGTCGCTCCGCATCGCCGCGTATACCGGATCCTCGTAAATGACCGAAATTTAATTCCACCGTTCGATCGTATCGCTCGAACGTCGTGGAGAGGGGATATTGAATTCGAACGAAAATGTTAATCGACGCGTCCGGTGCCCTGAAATCCTGCGATTCAAAGCACCATGTAAATTGTTATTCAATTGGCCAAGCAAGTAACGTTTTGATTAAAATTGGCATTAAGATCGCTTTTTATGAATGGGAAGAACAATTCGATGTTTTATGTTTTATAATTCAAAGTTTAATTAGTGCAGAGATCAAAAGAAATAAAATAGCATTACTCATGCTAGAATGCCGGTGTACGAGTGGGAAAGAAACGCGAATAATGTTATGCATTCTCCTGCTGTTCGCGCCGTGAAAACGTTTTCTCACCCACGTCGATACGCGGCGCATTTATGCCAGGAATACTTACAGAAGTAGCACGCGACGATCCCCCGGCACTGACATAGACATCGTCGGCGTGCAAACGATAAAAAGTCGAGGTGTTTGGCTCGTATCGAGACTAGCCGAGCAGGCGACGCGACGACGTTTAGAACGTAGCCGCGGGATCCGAGCCCCTCGACGCGAGTCACGTCGAACGCATCTCGGAAACGGGAGCAGGGTCGATTCAGGGTGGCGAGGGGGTACCGCCTCGTGGCAGAATGCCACGAGAGAACGAGACTTCGTGCCGCGCCCTCGTTGCATTGTGCGTGCTCGTGACAAAAGCGCCGATGCGCTTTCTCACGCTGCTCCTCACAGACGCAGATGCACCGACCCTCGATGCCCTTTGCTCCTCGTTCGGCTGTGAGTGTTCGCAGATTACAGTGCCTCGTTATGACAGCGTATTGTTCCGACGACGGTGTAAAGGAAAATGACATTTAGTCGAGCAAGTGGAAACTTAGTTTTCTTTTTTCGTCTCTACCCTTTCCTTCCGACATTCACATGACAGTGTCGAGGTATAAAATATGATATCGCGTATTTTTTCTTCATGCATGACACACTGACGTGTATGACACAATTTTATAAAAGTTGTATGCAAGGACGCTTGAAGTTTCTTTATCAATTTCTGATTCGAATGTTAATTCTTATTTCTCACGAGAATAAATTTTATAAAATTCCTGGTCTATGTCTGACGGGAAAATTGTTGCTATTGTAACGTTAAACCGAATAAATTTCATTCCTCCGTATCACGTGAGATTACTTGGCTCGTGAACATTGTTTCAAAGGAAACTCGCGGTCGTATAATAATCATGTGTAACGATGCAGACGTGGAGGGATTTTTCGCGCATAGATGTTGCGTGAGATTATTCGTCCAATCTTCAAAAGAAATTTTTGGTTTCCTAACGATTACACGCGGTGATAATCTTTTATGGTATAAGCCATGAGCAAACGATTTTCAGATACACCGACTGATAAGCACTAACAATAAGACGATTTTGGAGATGAAACGCCTGGGTTGATAAAATTTCACTGATAACAACGGAATTATGCGTTTCTACGTCTTCTGGCTTGTAAGCACGTCTCAGCCGACGATTTCTGCCCGACGCTATCCCCCACGGTCGACGGGACGAATTTTTATCGCAAACCCCATTTGGCAACGGTATCGTATTTCCCACAGCCAATAACCCTCCCGAAACCGGGATACTATGCATTACATTATATCGCTGCGAGTTTGAATTTTATCAAGGAACTTCTTGGCCTCTTGCCGGACAATAACGTTACATCGATCGGATCGTCTGCAGCATCGCTACTAATACCTCTCGCAGCGGATCATCTTCAAATTTATTGCTCACTTTTTTACCGTGCAGATACAGAACTTCGGACGGTTTTATTCTTCGAAGCACAATAACGAAGAAGATGTCAGTGCGCTTATAGCGTTCTGAATCAGTGTGTTCAGGATTCGTAAGGAAACTAGGCTCGGTTGAGTGTAACACTATATTTCCAAAATACTGCACAACGTAGAGGAATTCGTTAGTATCGAGTCCAGACTGAATCTGCTGTCTTAGGATTCGGCGGATATATATACATCCTAGCTATAGGAAGGGGAGGGTCACTTCTAACCCTGTGACTCAGGGTGGATTTTAACCTTAGTGACTAACTTTACAATACGCTTCTTAAAACTAGAGATAACTAGGAGGAAAACATTTTAATCATCCAACATCAGAAGAACATCTTCTTCGAAAGGGATGATGTAAAATAGTTTCGCGAGGATAAACGAGAAGATTACTTGTTTCGTCCCGCATGCCTAAAGGCACGAGACTACTAAAGAAAAGTACTGTGAAGCTGCCACTCTTTAGTAATCTCTCCTCGGAAGACGGTGTCTGATACGGGTCCGAATCGCACGCCTCGGGGTTGACAGTTACGAAACCTGTCTGACTGCCTTGAACGCTACCGGAAACTTCGCCGACGTAACGATATCCGAAATTCGGAAGGCCAAGGAATTAGCGAAACACTTAACAAACATGGAAGCATTTAGAGCAGAGCTCGGAGGCAACGATACCTGGATCTAGGAGGAAGATGTCTAATAGCGACGCGTCTCGTTAAAATGCAGTTTGCTACTCGGTGGAACAGTCTGGCGGAACTTGAAATTGCTTGGGAATCGCGCGGGCCGAATCCAGCATCCTCTAGGGATACCGCGTCCTTGTTTATTCACGACGAGCATCTTGGAGATCTCTCATCATTATTCGCGTGCCGTTTGATTCCATTAGTTGAACATTAGAAATGCGTAAAATATGATCAATCGTATCTTGTATCTACTGGAAGTCGATAGTCTCACACTGTCGCTGTATCTGCCACGCCACCGATGGAAGTGACAGCTCGCAGACAGCAGTAAGAACTCTGTCCCTAGACGATAACGTCACTACGCTGTGTTCGTCGTCTCGATTCACCTGCAGCAT